ATGGAAGTTTAGGTTCGAATTTAACTATTACACGTCCTTATCAAAATAAACATATAATGAGTCAAAGACTGTATCCAATCTTTTACTGTTGTAGAATACAGTTAAAAAAAACTGCTGTAACTCATACCTAGTGAAACAAAAGCAGAAAAACCGTTAAATATCAGATTGTAGATAGAAGAAATATGAATGCAAATATGAATGCTGGTAAAGTGAAATAGTAGTGATGTCTTCAGATCAATATCAGCCGTTACTGGTTCATTGAAGAATAGGTGAACAAATTTGAAATTCCAATAATTTTTTGTCAGCCAGCCAGAAAAGATTGACATTATTTTGCTTTGAAAGTATAAGCTTTGATCATTGGAAGTGGAGAATAATCACGTTACGTTAAATGGTCTTTAATAACTCGGGATCTAAATCGAACCGGTTGGATTCAACCGAGCTGTTTATCTATATATTCAAATAATAAGTTTGAAATGCGAATTTGGCTACAAAATAATACTAAAGACGTCTCTCATTAGACTTATGGATATTGTAAGTACTTTAATCATGCAAACAACCAAAAGTGTAACTACTACTTATTAGGCAACCATGTATTGGTAATAATATTAATAATCACGTTATGTTAAATGGTCTTTAATAACTCGGGATCTAAATCGAACCGGTTGGATTCAACCGAGAAAGTTTGAAATGCGAATTTGGCTACAAAATAATACTAAAGACGTCTCTCATTAGACTTATGGATATAGTAAGTACTTCAATCATGCAACCAACCAAGGGTTAAACTACTACTTATTAGGCAACCATGTATTGCTAATATTATTGCTATTTTTTAAAAGGCTTCACTCACTCTTCCTCTGGTAATATAATACCACATTTACGAAAGAAATTTTTATGACTCCTATAAATATACAAGGAAATTTATATTAAATGGAATATATAGAATGCTCTTTGCTTCTATACTTTTAAATGCGAAATAAATAATAAATTTTTTTTGAAGTAGAAGGAAGATTAGAATAGGAGAGTTATTTTTTTAAATAAATTAGAGATATATTTATATATGTAAGTTCGAAAAAGAATAGTGTAATTAGATTTTTCAAGAAAAGGCACTTTCTATAATATTAATTGTTTGACAAAATAATTAAGAAAATAAAAAAAATAAATAATAATTACGTTGAACAGACTATTAGTAAGAGCTTTATAATATATGTTTTAAAATTATAGGGAAGTATAACTTTTTGATATTGATAAGATGAAAGAAGGAAATAAATTAATATTGTAGAGGTGGGAAGAATATTAGGCTCACAACTGTTTATTTTGAAGAGCCTTTAGATTTCAGTTTATATTTCTATGAATTAAATCTATATGTTCTATTAGATTGTTTTTGAATTTATGTAACTTTTAAAATATCTTTTAATATTATTATTATGTATTTAATGTAGAAAATGAAAAACATTCAAAAAATTAGTAATATTTTAGTAGAGCATGAATATACTTAGAGGGACTCAAGCAGGTGCTGGATCCCTATTTTAGTGTGTTTACTTAAAAAAGAACTTTTAGAAAAGAATTGTAACTATAACTATTGTTTATTAAAACGACTACTGTTTAAGCTGTGGTTCAGAAAAGGAAGATCATTACCTCTTTAATACTGTGTCACTGACTAAGAGTGAGGATTTAATGGAACAAAGAAGAAGAAAAAGAGTAAAAAAGGACGTTGATTTACTTTAGTGTCTGTTTCCACAAGTGTTTTTCTAATATCTCCAATATAGGATCGTAAAACATTTTTAGTTCATTAAAAGACAAAGTGATGTTCCGGTTAAAAATAGGTCCCTTGAAGTAGTTCGCATGCTGTTTACTAAAATTGTGGTAATAAACTGCCTTATTGAGATATGTCTTTATGTGAGACGGACTGTCAGTGGTATTATCATAATGACAGTTTCTGTTAAATTTATAAATTATAAATATTTGACAATACTCGAAACAGTTGTAGGGTCAATCAAAAATTAAATGAATTAAAATAATATAAAAAATAATTTTTGTTGTTGTAGTTCACTACTTTTCGAAAACCTTTTAATAAATATTTTTTAATAAAATAAATCTTCTTGATTTGTCTATTATAGATTAAAATTAAATTGGGAAACTACATATAGATTTTTATAAAGTTGTTATCATTTTCGATAAGAAATTTTGATATAAAATAATATTTTAAAAATAAAATATTATAAAAAAGAAAAAAAAGAAATCTCTTTTTATTTATACAGTTAAAAAATAACAGCAATCAATTTAATATTTAAAAAATAATGCAAATATCATTTTTTAAAAATTTTGCTTCTAAATATAAAATATTTTTTTAATTTTAGATTTTCCTAAATTGTCAATTTTTTTTGTATAAATATTTTGTTCTTTTCATTAATCTTTTTTTCGTCTTTAGTTTTTAATAATAATTTACAATAATTTTTTTTCGTTTTCTCCATAAAATTTTTGAATTTTATTCCAAAAGGCAATTTTTGTGGTTTTAGGTTTTTTTTCTCAACCTAAATATTAAATTTTTTGTTTCTAAATATTAATTTTGTGCCAAAAGTTTTAGTCCAAAAATTTCATAATTTTTTTCTAAATAATTTTTAATTTTTAATTTCTTTTTGTTTTTTGTACACATTTTGTATATAAAATAATATATAAAAATTAAAAAATATCGGGCACACATTTTTAATTAGATTTGTTATTTATTTTTATTTTATTTATTTTTTATGCATTTAATTGGAATGTTTTCCAAAGTAATTTCTTATTAAATTTAAACTTAATAATTAGGAGATCTTTTAATAAATAATACAACTTAAAGTTTTCGAATACATATATAAAAAAATCACTAAATATTTAAGATTTAAATATTCGTATATATTTAAATAATAATACACATATATTTTTGTTTTTCTCTTGTATGAATTATACTATAGTGTTTTGATTCATATAATTATATATATATTTTAACTGTAGAGGTGTTCTTAAATTCAAACTTAAATAATAAATAAAATTAGTTATATTTTGATTTTTTTTTTCTTAGAAAAGTAAAACAGTTTCTTTTTATTTTGTTTGTAATTAAGTAACATTTAAATTTTTTAATAATATTATTTACTACTATTTATTTTAATCATTATACTATTGCACACTCAAAGTAATGGTTTCATTTAAATATATATAATAAATATTTATTATTAATTAAGAATTAGTTGTATTGTTTTTATTGAGTCAAATAAAAAAAAATTTATTAAATGAGAAAATAAATTAAAACTAAAAAATATATTAAATTCATGAATTTAAATAACTATTGTTTTATATAAAAAAATTAATATATATATTATTGGGAACACAACAATTTTTTTTTATTTAAAATTAAAAATATTTTAGCGAGTAATTTTAAGAACTCTGAGAATTAACTACAGAACCCATACTTCCAGTATACTTGACACTATACTTTGGAGGATAGAGATATTATCAGAAAGACCATGGTGCTTCTACTATCCGGGTCTCTCTGATATCTAATTTCTCTGCAAAATTATCAAATCTTTTATTTCTCATTGCGTTTAATTCAGATAGAGGATCATTGAAGCAATGAAATGAAGTTGAGGTCAACATAGTTTATGGAAAATTGGATAAGGTTAACATATTTTATAAACAACTTGCAAAGAGCTAACTAAATTAGAAGAGTCTATGATATTATTAATAAACTTGTACGCTGTTTTGTTTTCTTATTGACGTTACAATCTGAGTGACATACCTTATAGAAAATAAGATGAGGGAAACAAATTTTGTGGAAATTATGTCTCTCTAGGAACATCCTAATATTCTGAGAATATAATAAAGTTAAAGTTGGAAAGATATTATATGAGAAGTTTGATAAAGCTTCCCGAAATTGGAGGTGAGCTTGATATTATTAATGTTTTGGGTTTATTAACTTTTATGTGTCCAACCCATCAATAGATATTCAGTTCGGAGAATGCGGTTATTGATTGCAAATACCTTCTTTTTTGTATAGTGTTGTTCTACCAACCCTAACGGTTAAATTAATATGAGCTCAACAGATTTTATTGGAAGTTTGATAAAAGCTATGGAAACTAGAAGTAACTTTGATATTATTATTCTATTAGGTTCATATATTATTAATATATCGAGCTCGTATACAAATATATCGTTGGGAGGATAGTAGGTTATGAAAACACAATAATCTGTTATATTATTTTATCCATAAATGGTTAGACACTTCACCCAGATTTATAATCGCATACCGACATTGAACCGACATTATAGCAAGAGCACTCAACTTGTCATGACCAATTAAATTTTACGGTGATATTTTTATTCTTTTCACGGTAGAATGCGATCATTTAATGCTAACCGTTTTGACTGGTAGAGTGGCACATCGGTTAATTTCGTAACCCCCGAAACTCTCTGTGAAATGCGAAACTGTCTTACTTAATAGGCCATCACAGCCCCTTATCGAGTATCAGCCTTTCTTTATTTTTCCTTTATTACTATTGATGGTAATAATAATTTGTTATTCGGTATGTTTTAATTGAACTATTCCTGCTCACAGAAAGATGAAACAACTGTCGATTGTCGCTACTTACTACCGTAACAATATATGTGAGTAACAGTAATGGATGTGTAAAAGTAATATAAAACTGTAAATGAACGACTATAGAAATCTATTGAAATCTGTCTACTAAAAAGCCAATGAAACACTCTATTTACGCATACTTTTCGAAACTCACAGTGGTGAGGAATATAATTCTCATATGCTTTAGTCAAATTGTAGTAAGTTGTGTTCCCAATAATATAAAGTATAAAGTAAAATATAATCAAAATAATAAGTATTTAGTTTGTTTAATATATTTTCCAAAATGGTCCTTACTCACTGCTTGTTGTGATGGGTTCAATTTTAATACTACTGGAACTAATTTTACTGCTTGTAGGCGCTGATGCAGCTGTTGCCACATTTCCCGTTGCCGAAGTTAGTGACGATAGAATGGACGAAGTTGCCGGACTGGCACTGGAACTGCTAGTAATAGAGGATGTGGTAGCTGTGGCTGCACCCATTAATTCAGCGATATCTTCGGTAAAAAGTCGTGAAGGTGAATAGCCGCGTACGTGTTTATAACCAATTTCCAAACCGAGCTCTGTGAAAGGCGAATGCAATGGTGTCTCGTGGCGTGGACTACTGCGTTGCTGAGTTGGTGAATCTTTTACAGATTTTGGTTTTGCTATAATGGAACTTGACGAAGTATTCACAGCACTTGTTGTGTGTTGGTGTTGTTGTTGCTGTTGCTGTTCGTGTTGTTGATGTTGTTGCTCTTCTTGTTGAAGTTGAAGTTTTTGTGTGGAAGATGACGTTGCTGTTGCCGTAGCTGTAGTGGAAGTTAATGAATGCGACATGGAACTAATACCGAAACCAAGAGCATGCGTAGCCGCATGTTGTTGTTGTTGATGTTGCTGTTGCTGGTGTTGCTGCTGCTGATGCAAAGCGTGCTGTTGCTGCAAATGTAATTGCTGCAATTGATGTTGCTGTTGTTGACTTAGCATAGCAGCAGGATCGCAACGTGCAGCGCTTGTGCCGCCTACCATGTGCAGTGCTGCTGCCATACTAGGTGGTAGATTAGGCAGACCAGGTAAACTACCACACGGTGATGGTGCATGCCTTGGACCAAGCATACCACCAGCTGCACCATGATTTGAGGCAGAACTCAATGCGGGTGAGATGCTAGCCTTTGGCAGAGGTATACCACCGGGACCGGGACCGGCTGCACTCATATGCGATTGCAGATGCGGTGGTATGTTAAATAGGTTGGTGCCTGATGCACCCTCTGAGTGCTGATGTTGTGCTGCGGCTGCCATTTGCATTTGTTGGCGTAGGTTATGTGCAACAGCAGCAACGGCTGCAGCTGTAGCTTCTTGTGACATCTGCTCACCGGGAGCTGAAGGCATACCATTCGGACATGGTCCAGGTACGCCTGGATAGCTCAGTGGACTATCCGGAAATGGAAAAATTGGCTAGAAATGATAGTATTTGTTGTAATAGGTTGGGTGGGTATTGCTTTTGTCATAGAAACTTACCGAATGTCGTCCATACGGAATTGGCGGTAGAGTATCCTCTTTCAGTTCCTTTGCGTCGCGGAATACTACAGTCTTTATAACACCTTTGATATGCTCATCTGGCCAGATACCGAGTAATATACGTTGTGGACGACCTCTACCTTTCGGACGTAAATCAGGGCCGCCATCGATCGATGGCCCTAGCATATTGTGCACACGATTCGCGTACAATACAAAAGTTGGATAAGGTATGTCATATTTGCGCGCAGCTTGCGAAAGCGAGAGACCCTCTTTCAACACACTGAAGATGGCTTCGGCCATTGTTTCGGGACGCCAAGACTTGAGTGGACCGCGCTCGCGAAAGCGCAAGTGATGCATAAGGTTTTGATTGGTATTCCAACATTTCTGCCACATCGACTGCAATTGGTACTGGTAACTGTCTGCTGGTGACACAAACAAAAAAAGCTAAATGCATTAAACCGAACTGCGAAAGTTCGCTGTAAATTTCTTTACAAACCTGCAATGGAAGAACTTGAAGCACCCATCCAAGCATGTGAATTCTCCAACATTTTAGCCTAAAAGAAGAGTAAAAAGGGCAAATTAATTACTCAATTAAGATGCAGTAAAAAAGAATTAAATTTATGCAACTTTGCCACACTTTGCAAAACATTCATTGACTTGCAAAATCGACCTATTTTTTACTGAATGCACTATGCAACGTCCGCCCTCGCTGCAATAACGGAAATAATATAACAAGTCTTTTAAGTTTTAACTAAATCCACTAATTGCATAACAAAGCAACATTTTACATTTTGCATTCGCAAAAGTATTTCTATTTCTATTTCTGTTTCTATTTCTGTCGATGTGGCAACACTTGTGAAATCGTTTTTATTAGTAAGGAAAATGGTGAAATAAAAAAAGTATAAAATTATGCATTTTCATTTAAAGAATTGCAAAATACTGCCGTAACAATGTATCCATTGTGGTTGAGGCACCAGAAGAGGTGGTTGGGCAGACACCGACACACATGTCAATGCCTAGCTGCACTCAGATCTAGGCACCAACACAGAGCCAAGTGCCTGCATATATCATAAAAATGTATTTCATGATGCCATAAAGTACCTTTGTTGCATTGTTTTGTGGGACGGCAGGGACGGGTCGTACAACTATAATGCAAGTAGAAATAAAAAAATTTAAATAAAAAATCGTTAACCTCTTGAAAAGTTATTTACATATTAGCAAATCAAATTGTTAGTTACACAGTTGTAATTTATAATACGAAACTAAAGGAGAGCAAGTAAAACGCTCATGTACGAGCACCCGTAATTGGGTTTTGGAAATTGGGCACAAGTCGAGTTTATGTAAGAGTCTCTGAAACAGTCCGCCACTTTGCTTTGCTGTCTTCATAAATTTTATATTTTTCATCAAATGAATAACAAATAATATTGTGGCAATACATGTCTCTCTAATAGTGCTATTTTCATCGAACCATAAACAACATTAATCATACGCCATGGCGAACCGATCAAACTAACTTAAATTTACTGATTAGAGCTAAAGAAGTATAGAAAATTATTGGACACATACGACAACAAATAAATATTGTTTAAAATTAAAAAGGGGATTAGAAATAATCTATTTAAGAAAAGTATTTCGTGATGATCAGAAAAAAATGCATTGCAATGGTATTTTAATACTGAAATTGCTAATAGATTTATTTAAAAAAAATGTTATAAAATAAAATTTTCCATAGTACCTAGCAATGTATTCATAAATTTCAATATAATAATGACAATAAAAATTTGCAATAATGGTTTAGAATTGATAAAATGACTAAGGATTGGATTTTTCTAGTAAGTTGTGAGACCATCAATTATTAAAGATTACATTCCGAATGAAATATATGAGGAGGATGACTTCATAATTAAACTACAACTAGTCTTAGGGGAAGTAAAGCTGAAATCTGAAATTTTTGATCTTACAAAGAAATTGCTATAAGATATAGGAAAAGGGAAAACAGGGGAAAACAACATGAAATTTAAAATTTTTAACCTCCCAAAAAACTACAATGACGACTAGGGGTGTACGACCTTAAGTCTATAATGATTGACCATAGAAAGATATAAAACACTATAGAGGAGAACGACTAAAAACCTGAAATTATCGAACTTGCAAAGAAACAAAAAATTACAGGAGAGAAGAAATTACAACAAAATATAGAATGTAGTAAAAAAAAAAAGGTAAAACATTCACCTCTTATAAACAAATACTATTGTAGAATTCTAGATAAAAAAAACCAAAAAAAGATGAAAAAGGTCCAGATTCGAATCAGTGGTTTTTCCAAAGGGAGAAGGGAGGATTAGAGGATAGAATATTCCTTAAAATATAAACTATGTAAATATAATAAACTACAAAAACACAATCAAAAAATATTTTTTCCATTATGGCAAAAATCCATACTATACCTTGGTTCAGATTTAGGTGTAATAACATCCTCATGGGACAGGTGCACAGAATTATCGAAATAATAGCAATTGCTCTTGATGAAAAGAAACGTTTCTTTAGTCGTATTTTGGATTATCTCAAAGGCTTAGAATAAATTTTGGGATATAAGTCCATTTATAAAACACTGTAATCTCTCATATGTGCTACTGATTCAATATGCTATTGAGCGTAATAAAGAAGGAAACAGCTAGATTTAGCACAATATAATAATCAATGGGTATTCATTGATAATGTTGGGAAAAGAACAACAATCACTAAGGAATATTATATGGCATTATTGATGGTTCGAAAAAAGAATTTATGAAAACATCAACGACATATGGAAAATAATAAAGTATTTCCAAAAAGACAGGGCTGCCCGATTTCATGAAATGTTGTCTCTGCTTGAAGCAAGACGACAACGTCTAATTAAATCCATTTAGGCTTTTTTTTGTGACTTTCTACTACTGGCTGTACTTTTATTTTATTTTTATTTGTGTTGTGCGGCGAAGAGGATGTGAGTGTCCGACTCGCAGAGACTAAACCCTCCAACATTCTTAGATATTTTGTCCTACCCCAGGACTACGTTACTATTACTTCGAGGTACTGGCTTTACCTGTTAGGAATAGTTAAAGTAGAAGTGATATGATGGTCACTATTCTCTATACTAATTTTTATCTATAGGTTAACGGTTTTAAATATATATATTACCATTCCTTCAATTTTTTTTTAGTTTAGTATTTTTTGTATTCCATGATCTAAGATATTATTTTCATTGTATTATTTATAACAAAATAATTAAATTACGAAAATCTAACGTCATACTTTAATAGTAGTACTTAAAAGAAAGAAAGAAAAGTTTTCCTTCAGGAAGGTAATAATGCTTTATGTCACAAATCGATCCCAATAAGAGTAAAGTGACATTTGAAGTGCTTCCCTATCTACTATATTCTTCAGATCATGATTTCAGTAACTTTGTTTCCGGAACATAATAATGTGTTCCCAGAAAACAGATTTGGTACCATTAATAATTAAAAATTTCATCCTCATATTGAAGTTCCAACAAAATTTAATAGAAACATTTAAAACTTATTTAAAACATTCAATATTTTTCATTAAAGAATTCCTACCACAAGCCACAGAGGAGAGAAGAGAAACAATGACATTTTAAGTGGGCGTAAGCTCCTTTTCTGCTTTTTAACGCTCTTAAATGATTTAATAATTTTAAAAAATAATAAAAATATTAAGTATTCACATTTTAGCATTCTTCTAGTGGCATCACACTTGACCCGGACTCTTAAGGAGTTGAGTGTGCTTAAGTGGTGTTTATTCATATAATTTTCTTCCAATTTTTCAGCTTTGCTACTACAAAGTGACTAAGGACACTAAGTGCAAAATATGTGCCTTTTTTCCTGTCTGTCCGTTTGTGTGGGTGCTAGGACTACACTTCCATTATGAATTTATTTTATGCAATTTCTGAACAGGAATTGTTTAGAGATACATTTGAATTGTTCACCGAAAGTAGCTTTTGTGCCTTTTCATTGAGAAGTTTTATGTTTGCTTAACATGCAAAATTTTGCTGGCATTTAAATTTGTTTCCTTAAAATTGGCAAGGATGGCAGTAATTGCCATCCTTTGATTGTTGAAAAAAATTACTTAATTTTGGCAATCATTTGGAATCAAGGGAAGTTGATGGTATTTGGTATACCATACACTGAATTTTAATAATTTCGTAAATATTTAAAAAAATTTTAATTTTGATTTTAATTTTAATTTTTGTATCGAAGGTTTAGTTCAGAAACTTTAATATATGGATTAAGGCTATAGTAGTGGATTAACTTCCTTATTATTCCTGTATAATCATTCTTACTATTAAAAGCTACTAATCAACTATCGATGAGAGTTTAGATGGATTAAGTCAGTCAATTTCAACAACAAAGAGACAGTCTTTCTCTTTGAAATAGAATTAATAGCTTATTGGGTTAGACTTTTCAATCTCCGTTACAATCTCAATAAGATATGGCCGACTAATTGCTTAGAATATAGTCACTGCTTGAAAAAAATGAGATGTCTAGTCAAATTTTTATGTGAGTACATAACCATGCCAGGAATCAGGTTTGTCCATTTCAATATAAAGAGAAATTCCTTTTCTGTCAAACAGATGGGACTATCCGGTTCGATAGAATGTTATCTCTGCTTGGGTGGGGATGAAACATATAGTACCATTTTCGGAAGTGCTTGGTCTTGCCAGAGCTCAAGTTTGTGCACTTCACTTCTTAGGAACGCATATCCATCTGATGAAACATCTCAAACGGTGCTTCAGCCTCTCCGCATATAAGAGGATGCTGCAGATTTTCTGCCTTTTTTCTCAATAAAACATATTAGAGTGCCCGATTGGACAGTATGTTGTCTCCGCTTGGGTGAGAATCAGATAAATATTCACATTTTTTGTGGTTATTTTATACTATCACGGACAAAGTGTGCTTATTTCACTATAAAGAGATATTCTTTTTCTGTAAGATAGATGGATAATCTAACAGATTATTGCCTATACTTGGAAGACGATAATATATCTAGCCACATTATTTATGGGTATAACTCTTTCGACAAAGAAAAATTACGCTCAACAAGTTTCTTATCACGACTGTTCAGCTGTATGGTGCAAATGCTTGGAGTGTTGAAAAGCTGTTAGAAAATTTTAATATTCTTTGGAAAATTTAATATCCCGTATATGTTAGCACTGAGTATCGAATTAGATGGTACGAATTATTGTAAAATTGACTTATTTAAGCGCATAATAATTCCTTGACTTTGCTTGGACATGTCTTCTGAATGGAAAGAAATGCTTCGGTTAGAAAGGTGTTGCCATCAATACTCGTTGGGGGAACTTAGCTAAGTCACTGGCTAAGTTATATCTTGCGAATGGAAGAAAATGTTCGGGATAGAAAGGTGTTTGATTCAGTTCATGCTGGTGGAAAAATCGGTATAAAACGTCCGCAACTTTGTTGGAATAATCCTGACCATGTTGGAATGATGATAGTAAGTAACTGATTGGGCTAGTTCGAAGAGATTACTAAATACGGCTAAGGAAGACTTACTTAGTATTGT